TTAAATATATAGTTGAAAGCGAATAATAATTAAATAAATTTAATGAATTATTAAATGTTAAATATAATTAAATAAGTTAAATAAATTATTAGAAGTGAAAAATAGAAAAATAAGTTAATTTAGGCGGTTCAAGTTTCGATGTACGCGTTATAACGGTCGAGAAGCAACTGACGTGACCTGTGACCGTCAAGTGCCTATATGAACCAAAGATAACCTTACCGAGGTCAAACGGAAATTCCCGAGCTCAACCGATTTTCCAAAGATTCTCGAACCTTTTCTAATTGTTATTACATAGTTTATTGTCAATATATGCTTCTTATAATTTGCATTAACAATAAGTACAGTAATTTACATATGTACAATTATTTTTTCATCTAAAAATGTTATTTACTTCTTTGTAACAATATTTTTTAACATATATGTGTTTAAAACAACTTTTTAAAATTAAAAAATGTGAACAGTAACTAAAATTGATTTTAACTAAAGGACTCCTCTATAACCCATACCCATAACCTATTCTAAAATAAGCTAAAACTCACGCTTTTAACAAATTTTACGAATTTACATAACATATAAATTTATACATATTATACATATAAGAATGCTTCCACACATTTTTAATCGTACATTTGTAGAATTTTATGAAAGTATGTTTAATAAAGGTTGTCACCGTACTCATGTAAAAAATTTTATAACTAAAATATAATATGTTACTATATATTACTATATATTTGTTACTAATTTTATAATTAATTTTATTAATTTATAAAGTTTTTATAGTGGAAATTAAGCATTCTTTAAATTGTCATTTTCGTAAGAAAAACATATTTGTATTTGCTTTATTGATATTAATAAATATAAGAAACATCGTTTGATATTCTACATCGATATTTTAGTATATGGCAATTTCAAAGATTAAGCATCTTCCCGCGACAAAAACGCATAACTTGTCTAACGAACAGCCAACTTCTAGTCGATGCCGAATCGAACTAACGGTAATACATCGTGGAATATTTTCGCGCGTCAAAGTGAAACATTTAATATCGTTTCAAAACGTTTCGTGAAGTAGTGATATCACTGGTTGATGATTTGATTCCTGCAACGGACGAAATATATATCTAAGAACAATAATGAACCGTATCGGGTATTCTTTCGTTGCAAGAAATGTTTTCGCAGTAAGCCTAGTATTCGGTGTTTTGAAATAGGGATAATATTGGTTTAGAAGATTTTTCTACGTTGATGGAACTTAGACGAACAAAATGGGGTTATACTCTTCGGTGAGTAACTTTAATTATTCTGCAAATTAAAATTAGCATGCGAATTTTTCAACCGTCTTTTGAAATGTCGGTATTACAGATCACGTGCCATGGAGTACCATAAGATGATCGTAAACGGATTATTTGTCACAGGTAAGATACAGAATAAATTTAATATTCAATGTCTTTTTGTGTCATATGCTTTGGAGACATTACTCAAGTATATTCAATAAATCATATGAACACACACGTAGAACGTTAGCTTTATACTTATTATAAAGAAAAATATTTAGACCCGATATTATTATTAACAGTTAAAATATAATAAAATTAATATAATCTTATTGAGTATTGCATCGGTAATGTTGGAAGTGACACAGAAATGGTAAGAGTTTCATGCTCTTGCGGTATAGAATCAAAAATGCGAGTTATAGTACAAAAAGCTATATATTTCAATTATCACCTACACAACGTGATAACTTTTCTTTCTAGAAATTTAAAAACGAAGTTCTATTTATAGTTACTAACTTTATCGTTTCCGATGACAGTGCTATAATTTGTGTTACGATTGTGTTACGATGAGTGTGACATAATTTCTATTTTCATTTAATAACTCACAGAAGGTGAATTTTTTCTCAAAGCTGATATTTTAAAAGATACGAAAATTCTATTAATCATTTATAATACAGGACAGACTTCACTTTATGACACTTGCTGCATTATATCCTGAAATACCGACCGTTCAAAAAATCAATAGTTTTGTTATGCCCTCTACGATTTAGAGCGGTGAAGATAGGAATTAGATGCAATTTATCCACCGAATTTGTTACCAACATATTTAAAAAGCCCTCTTTCTATATTCCCATCTAATACATGAATATTTATACGGACTAATTATAACTACGTTTCAAAATTATACGTATCGATATTTACATATCCTCGTATCACGCGACACGTTCATTCCGTACCTCGTCTGTGATATACGATGAATCAATCGCTTAATCAAAGGACTGTTTATTAGTAAAAATATTATTCAACGTTTTCGATGACTGGCAAATCACTCGGTTGAT